ACACCTGAGGGTGGGAGCCAATTCCCTGCATCCATGAGCACAGCTGGCACTGGCATCCCCAGCTCCCTTTGGCAGGGATTTGGTGCCCCACAGGATGCCGGCCCCGTGCAGATGTTGTCCTCTCTATACATCACGCTGGCTATTTCCAGCTCCCCTGCTAGGAGACCAGCCTGTGTTTATCCTGGTGATTTGGCAGAGTTGCTGCGGCACAGATGAGTCAGGAGCTGGGAGAAGCTGCTTCGCCACATTCCCATTGCCCCACCACAGAGGTTTTCCAAGCCCGCCCCTCTTCGTGCTGTCCCTGCTGCTTGTTCCTGTGGGGCCTTGGGCCCTGGGATCCTGTGGGGCCCTGGGATGGGGGAACAATCCTTACTGAACCAACAATGCCTGGTATAGGGTGGCAATCCTTGCAGTAGGACAGTGATCCCTGCAGTAGGACAGTGATCCCTGGGATTCATGCAGTGGTCCTGGGGCCAATCCCTGGCACTGAAGGCAGTGCCATGCGGAGCAGCCAGTTCAAGGTGGGGCAGAACAGGTTTTCTGGGCCCTCCCAGCAATGACAGACCTCCGAGGGCGCACGCTGCCTCTTCCACCTGGGCTCCCAAGCTGTAAACCTGTCAAGAACCCTTCCTGGGATAGCATTCTCAGTCCTACAGTGGTGTGGCTGGGAGCAGGTGGACATGGGCCTTGGCAACCAGGTGGGACCGAAACCTGCAGTCCCGGGGGATTTGCAACTGTGCGTAAAGATTTATGGATGGGGCATGAGCCGGCGAGTTCCCCGAGCTGGCACATTCTCCAGGGTGGGGCAGCTGCAATTTGGAGGAGGGAAGGAGGGAAATGCCTGCACCTCCACTGGCTCCAGCCCATCCATTTGTCCCCTTCCAGCATGTGAAGCCTGCTGCTGCCCAAGCTTCAGCAACACTCACAGGGATTTAATAGCGGAGGGCGGAAACCAAAGGGTGTTTCCTAAAAACGCATGGAGTGGGCTCTGGCGTCTCAGAGAGGGTTGGCGTCTCTCCAGCAGCCTGGTGGGCTTGTGCCTGAAGCTGCTTCAATGAGCTCTGGTGACTCTGTCCTGTCTTGACTTTTCCAGAAGGAGAGCCCAGACCTGCCAGGTTTCCGGGCTGGGATTTTGGGGCAGAGTCGGGGCAAGCAGTAGCAGATCCTGCCCTATGGGGCTGTCCCCGAGCCCTCTCTGAATCTGCCGCTTTGACTTCGCAGCCTCCTGTCTGTCAGTGCTGAGCGCAGCCAGAGCAGATCCAACTTTCCATTAACATTTGGATTTTCTGGCAGCTCAGCTGCAATTTTCATTCTTCTTTTTTTTTTTTTTTTCCCCCTCCTTCCTGCTTTTAAAAGCTAAAAATAAAACGTCTTGAGGCCCCTTTTCCCTCCATCTTTTCTCTTGAGACGTTTGTTTCTTGAGGATTTGATGCTTCTGTTGTGTTTTCTCCTCATGGATTGTTTTTACCCACGGCTGTCCCAGCACAGGGGATCAAATCCTGTGGGACACTGAGCCCGTGGCCCCTGCCTGCAGGCACCCAGCCCTCAGGGGTGGCTCTCTGCTTCCCTTTTCCCTGGGGGATTTGGGATCACAGGATCCCAAGGCTCCAGTAGGCAGGATGGGGAGGCCAGTGGAACCCTCCAGGAGCAGGAGGAAGGGCTGTCTTTGTCCCCTTCTCCAGGGGAGTGGGAGCGACGCAGCTGCCATGGAAGTTTTTATTTTTAGCTGAGCGCCAGCTGGAGCCTGGGAGGTTGCTGGGGAATAAAAGCAGGACCTGAGGGGAGGAGAAGGGAAAACTCAGAGCCCTGGCTGGGCTGGGGATCGACAGGGCTGGCATGGAACAGGGGGCGGCTGGGGTCCCTGGCACCAGAGAGGACTCACCTGTGGGCTGACAGCTCGTCTGGAAGCTGCTGCCACGTTCAGGGTCGTGGTGTGTTTGGAAGAACACGGGGGGAGGTGCTCAGGTCCCAGGGAGTCACACAGACCACTGGACCTGCCGGAGCAGAGGACAGGACAGGATTCCTCTCACCCCTCTCCCTCCCACAGAACTGCCCCCAGGCTCAGCCCCACGGCTGGTGAGCTCCAGGCTCCTGGCTCTGCTCCTCATGGTGGAACCCAGAGTTGAGCATGGGAAGCTTCTAAGGCAAAGGGATTTGTCCTTGAGTCATCTGGGATTTACCGTGGGGCTTTCCAGGCATCAATGCCCTGAGCCCCTCTGGTCCCTGGAGAGGGACAATCTGATGGAGACACGAGTGTAACTATCAGCATTTTCCCCTCTGTTCGTCACTTATCAATGAAATTGCTGTCCCTGAAAGAGCTGGAGGATTCAGGACACTCCAGAGCCCCGTCCTGAAGAGCCGCTGCCCCCTGGCTGTCCCCAAACCCCCACAGCCAACACGGCGAGCAAAGAGCTGCAGCAGCAAAACACCGGGGACGAGCCTTTCCTGGACTCACAGGGCGGTTCACCCCGTCAGGGACGGCAGGATTGGACCCCTCTGGCACTGCCGGGGTGACCACACTGGCTGTGGGGACGAGTCACGGCCACGCAGGAACACTCAGCCTCAAACACTGGTTGCAGTGAGCCTGGGAGCTGCTCCCGGCTGGCATTCCTGTCCTGTGAGTCACTGGCATGAAGGGAGTGGGTTGTGCAGGAAGGACCCGGCGCGGAGCTCCGGCAGCAGCGCCGGCAAGTGGGACCGTAGTGCTCTGGAAAATAGGGACCAGCACCATTTCTTGGTCAGTTATTCCACTGCAGGCTAAACTCCAAATTCTCAGGATTGCTTACATGCTATTTAGGCACAAACAAGGGTATTTTATGGAATTCATGGACTGTGAAATCGTACTCTGTGCACATCGAGACCCTCTTACCTGAGAGCCCCAAACACTGAAAGTATGATATGAAAAGCCAACCACAAAAACATCGTATAATTTATCCCAGATCTGACATGTTACACTGAGCCCTTTGCACCACAACACAGAGTGTTCTGGGCTGGGAAAGGAACTTTCAGAAATGGAAACAAAGGCAGAAGATGGTTCTTCACACACTTCCAAGAAAAAGTCTGCAAACTGCTCCTGGATTCCCAGAGGCTCTTGGGTTCTGCTTTTCCTGACAGCAGCACTTTAGGTGGTTCTGAATTTTGTTAACTGTACATGTAGGAATAGTGATTTTTTAAACTGTTTTTCTCAAGCTGAATTCCTGCTCTTTTAGCATAGAATTCATCCTGGGATATAAAGTGGGGTTTCTGCTTAAAAACAGTAGCCTGGGATTTTGAAACCTTTGGTTTAGTCTGCAAAATAACAGAATGACTTTTCCGTGCTGGCTCGGATCAGGAAACAGAAAGAAATGCTGGAAAATCTGCTGTTGGCCAAGCCAGGATCTTCCCACATCCCTGCGAGTCGGAGAATGCCATCCCTGCTGGTGCTGGGGTCCCATTCCTGGTGGTCCTGGGGTCCCATGGGTGGTCTGGACCTGCCCTGGGATGGGCTGAGTGCCACCACCCTCTCCCTGGTATTTGTGACCCGTGATCTCATGGCATGGGTGTGCACTGCCTGCCCCAGGAATGTGCCCCGGGGCTGGCGAGCAGCCAGTGCTTGGCCGGCTCACCCACAGCCAGGGGCTGGTTCCCGGGGTGCATCCCACCTCCCCCTGTCCCACAGCCCATTTTGAGGGAGGTGGGATGACAATCCCACTTCTGGGGTCGGTGGCTGCTGGGGGCCATTTGGGTCTTGTCTTTTTATAGGACCTACCAAAATAGCACCGGGCTGCATTTTAGTAGTACAGTCAGATCAGATTCCCCGGTCACACAGCAGGGAATGGCCTTGACCTGCTGTCAGAGGGCTGGAAAAGCCAGTGGGAGCCAGGATAGTGCAGGAGTCTAGAGGGTGATGTTGGAGGTCTGGAGGCCCGTCCACAGCCCTGTGCTGGGCGGCTGAGGTGCCACAGCTCTGCACCACCCAGTGACAGCTGAGCTCGTGGTGAGCTCTGGCCACCCCAGGGCAGCCCCCAACCCCTGCTTATCATACAGTGCCCCCCATCTGCTCAAGGAGAGGCACCAGGCTCCTGGCACTGCCAGGGTGCCACAGGCTCCTCTGCCCGCTCGCCTCGGTGGGGCAGTGCTGGCTGCAGGGCACCTCCAGCTCCTCCCCTGTGCCAGCCCTGTGTCACATGATGCCACACATGTCACACTGTGCCACACATGACAGCATCATGTGCTCTGCCACACCACAGCACGCTGCACCATGTCCCACTGTGTCACACTGTGCCCCACTGTGTCCCACCACGGCGTGCTCCAGTGTCCCCAGCACACTGCATCGCCGTCCACCCCGTGACATTGTGCGTATCACACGTGGGGACTGAGACACCTCCTGGTCCCCCCATCCTCCCCAACCTGTCCTGCTCTCCGGTATCCACACTGGGGCTGGATGGCTGGGGCCTGACAGTTTTAGGGGTGTTAGGGGTGATCCTGCAACTCTTTTGGGGGTCATCAGAGGGCTGTGGATGTGATTCTCTGTGTGCTTGAGTTACAGTTCAGGGGGGAGTTTCTGAGAGCAGCCCTGAGGAGAAGGACTTGGAGATGTTGGTGGATGAGAAGTTTAACATGACCTTAGAGTACCTTCCAATACCTAAAGAGCCTTTAAAAACTGGAGAAGGACTTTGGACAAGGGGCTGGACAAGGGAATGGCTTCCCACTGCCAGAGGGCAGGGTTAGATGGCATCTTGGGAAGAAATTCTTGGCTGTGAGGATGGTGAGACCCTGGCACAGGTTGCCCAGAGAAGCTGTGGCTGCCCCATCCCTGGAAGTGTCCAAGGCCAGGTTGGACGGGGCTTGGAGCAACCTGGGCTAGTGGAAGGTGTCCCTGCCCATGGCAGGGGAGGTGGGGACTGGATGAAGTTCTAAGATCCCTTTGAACCCAAACCATTCTATCATTTCCTGATTGACCAAATCCTTCTGCACCTAACCTGCCATGCAGCTAACCTGTGCCATCCTTTGCCCTGCAGGAATGCCAAGAAGGAAGGGGACCTGCTCACTGCACAGGCACGCCTCAAGGATGTGGAGGCTTTGCTTAATTCCAAGGAAGCTGCACTCTCCACGGCCCTGGGTGAGAAGAGGAATCTGGAGAATGAAGTGCGTGATCTGAGGGGGCAGGTGGCCAAGGTGAGCAGTGGCAACCCTGCCTCCAACTTCCCCAGAGACCTCTCTGTCCCCCCCTACCTGGGGGCTGCCGGGTCCCCGCTGTGCCAGGGGGCTGTGGGGCAGATGCAGTTGGGTGGTGGGTGCCCAGCCATGCCAGATGCTGGGGTGTCCAGAGCCCACTGTGATGCTCCTTCTCAATTCCCCGCCAGCTGGAAAGCGCCTTGAACGAAGCCAAGAAGCAGCTGCAGGACGAGATGCTGCGCCGCGTGGACGCCGAGAACCGGCTGCAGACGCTGAAGGAAGAGCTGGAATTCCAGAAGAACATCTACAGCGAGGTGAGCTGTGGCACCGCCACAGTGCTGGGGTCACGTGGGAGAGCCCCTGCTCTGCAGGGCTGTGTCCCCTTCCTGAGGTGACACGGTGTCCCCTGACCTGCCCCCTCCCAGGAGCTGCGGGAGACCAAGCGCCGCCACGAGACGCGGCTGGTGGAGATCGACAACGGGCGGCAGCGGGAGTTTGAGAGCAAGCTCTCTGAGGCCCTGCAGGAGCTGCGGAGCCAGCACGAGGCCCAGATCAGGCTTTACAAGGACGAGCTGGAGAAGACCTACGGGGCCAAGGTGAGCAGCACCCCACCACAGCACCCTCCTGTCCCCCCGGCCCCCCAGAGCACTGGTGGGCAGTGGGTGCCGGGGATGCTGATCTCCCTGTCCTGCCCACCAGCTGGAGAACGCCAAGCAGTCGGCTGAGAGGAACAGCAACATGGTGGGTGCTGCCCACGAGGAGCTGCAGCAGACCCGCATCCGCATCGACAACCTCTCCTCGGAAGTGAGCCAGCTGCAGAAGCAGGTGAGCAGGGGTTCCTCGGGATGTCTGCCCTGGAGATGGTCCTCTCCTGGGGGTGATCCCCTTCTGGGCGTGGTCCCCGGGTGGAGCGGCCACCCACACCTTGCCTCCCCACAGTTGGCCGCCAAGGAAGCGAAGCTGCATGATTTGGAGGATATTCTGGCCAGGGAACGCGAGACCAACCGGCGCCTGCTCTCGGATAAGGAGCGGGAGATGGCCGAGATGCGGGCGCGCATGCAGCAGCAGCTGGATGAGTACCAGGAGCTGCTGGACATCAAGCTGGCCCTGGATATGGAGATCAACGCCTACCGCAAGCTGCTGGAGGGCGAGGAGGAGCGGTGAGCTCGAGGCCCTGCACCCAGCTCTGGGCTACGCGGGTCCCAGCCCTCTTGTCCTCACTGACTCCATCTCCTCTTCTCCCCCTGCCAGGCTGAGGCTGTCCCCCAGCCCTTCCTCCCACAAAGGTACATCCCGAAGCCACTTGTCCACCTCGGGCTCCTCCAAGAAGCGGAAGCTGGAGGACAGTGAGAGCCGGACCAGCTTCTCCCACCACGCCCGGACCAGCGGCCGTGTCGGAGTGGAGGAGGTGGACTTGGAGGGCAAGTTTGTCCGTCTCAGGAACAAGTCCAACGAGGCAAGTTTCCTTCAGGGGGGATCCTGGGGTGAAGTTCAGCCCTACTCCATGGGCAGGAGGTGAATGGGGCAAACTGGGGAGGAACTGGGATTCTGAAGGTCTCTCTCTCTCTTGCAGGACCAGGCGATGGGGAACTGGCAGATCAAGCGGCAGAATGGGGATGATCCCCCCATCACCTACCGCTTCCCCCCTAAGTTCACCCTGAAGGCTGGCCAGGTGGTCACGGTGAGTCCCTGCCCAGCAGAGGATCCAGCCCTGCTGGTGGCGATGCAGAACAATTGACTGTGCTTTTTGCAGTGACAGACCCACCTTCCCCGGGCTCTGGGCTCTGCAGACCCGAGAGGTCACTTTTTCACCGCTTCTCTCCCCCAGATCTGGGCCTCAGGAGCTGGAGCAACCCACAGCCCCCCCAGCAACGTGGTGTGGAAAGCCCAGAGCAGCTGGGGCTCCGGGGACAGCCTGCGCACCGCCCTCATCAACTCCAACGGCGAGGTGAGAGCCGAGGGCAGGTCTGGGCTGGAGCACGGGGAGTTGGCAGACACCGAACCCCCCAACTGCCTTCCTGTCCCCCACAGGAGGTGGCCATGCGGAAGCTGGTCCGCACCGTGATCATCAACGATGATGAGGATGAGGACGCCGATGAAATGAGCATTCACCACCGCCACCACCATGTGAGTAGGGCACTGGGGGTGCCAGTGATCCCAGGGGGTTCAGGGGGGGTGCAGCTCTGGTCCCAGTCAGGGTGGGAGACAGCTCAGCCTCACGCAGGGTCAGGCATAGCAGGGAGTCTGTTGCGGAAAGAACAACTTGAGAGAAGGCAACAGACCTCTGGCACCTGGAGGAGATCACTGCTCACCAAAAAAGGACTTGAGACCTTGCTGGAAGTTGTCTCCAACCCTGAGCAACCTTGACAGGCCATGAAAAGTGTTGGAGGAGCCGGAGGGAGGCTGAGCTGGTACCTGGTGTCACCAGGAGGACGGGATGGACGGAAGTTGATGGATGACACTTCTTGGCAGCAGCTGCTCCATCCTCTCTGCTTCACAAGGGTGCTGGAACAAATCCAGAGGAGGCTTTGTCCTTCTTCTCAGCCCATCATTCCCCTCACGGAGCTGAAATATGCACCAGGAGGATCAGCGAGCAGAGCAGGCAGCAGGCAGAGGAGCAGGCAGCAGGCAGAATAGGCAGCATGCCAGGAACAGAGCTGCAACCACTTCTCCCACAGAAACATCCCTGGCTGCAGCCCAGGAGCCCCCACCAGCCCATTCCACAGGGTGTGTGTGTCCTGCACATGAGATGCCCACAGGAATCAGGCGTGGAGAGGTGGCAAGAGATCTGCTGGATGCTGCCCCCAGGGCTCTGCAGGAGCAGGATGGGGAATCAATCATCCACTTTGAGTTCTCTGGATCTGAAGAGCGGAGCTGCATCAGCAGGTCGAGCTGCTGGATTGTCCCACTCTGCTCTGCCCTTGTGAGACCCACCTGCAGTGCAGGGTCCAGTTCTTGGGCTCCCAGCATAAGAAGGGCATGAAGCTGTTGGAGCAAGTCCAGAAGTAGCCATGAAGATGCTCTGAGGGCTGGAGATCCTCTGCTCTGGAGATAGGCTGGGAGAGCTGGGGATGTTCACGTGGAGAAGAGAAGGCTCTTCTGGCTGGGAGACCTGAAAGCCCCTTCCAGTGCCTAAAGGGGCTCCAGGAGAGCTGGAGGGACTTTGGACAAGGCAAAATGGCTTCCTACTACCAGAGGGCAGGGTTAGATAGGATATTGAGAAGAAATTCTTCTCTTTGAGGCCCTGGCACTGGTTGCTTAGAGAAGCTGTGGCTGCTCCATCCCTGCAAGTGTTCAAGGCCAGGTTGGACAGGGCTTGGAGCAACCTGGTCTAGTGGGAGGTGTCCCTGCTCATGGCAAGGGGTGGTACGAGATGAGCTTTGAGGTCCTGTCCAACCCAAACCATTCCATGATTCAGTGATTCTCTTCTACATTGATTATCCCTGGGCAGAGGAGCCAAGCTCCTGTAGCCAGTGCTGCCCATTCATCTGAAGGCTGAATCTTTTCCAAGAGCAAGTTTCCCCTTGGGCAGCCGCCAGCTCGCGAGGCAGTGAAGAGGAGGATGATTTCAGGGGAACACAGTTCAGGTGTACTGAGAGCCCAGGGCACAGCAGGGCAGGTCACCCACTGGCATCACACCAGCCCCAGTCATGTGGGATTAGAAACACATAATAACAATAACAACAGTTCTGTTTTATTGTGTTTAAACCACACGATGGAGAGGATGGGCGAGCGCAGACCCTCTTCTAACGTGAAGAGGGGTCACACCATCATCCTCAGTGCAGGGGTTCAGCACAGAGGATACTTGAGCAGGGCCTCACAGTTGTTTTGTCTGTCCCCCCCTCACGTCTAGGGGAGCTGCAGCGGCTCTGGGGACCCCGGTGAATACAACCTGCGCTCCCGCACCGTGGTGTGCGGCACGTGCGGTCAGCCGGCCGACAAGTCGGGCACCCAGAACGCCGGCGTCAACACCATGTCCTCGGGCTCCTCCACCTCCAGCGTGACCGTCACCCGCAGCTACCGCAGCATGGGCGACTCTGGCATCGGCCTCGGGGACAGCCTGGTGACCAGGAACTACCTCCTGGGGAGCTCCAGTCCCCGCAGGCAGGTCAGTGCCATTCCCAGCCCCCGGGGCAGGGCTGGCCCAGCACTGTCCGTTCTCAACAGGGCAGCACTGTAGGGGTCTCATCCCCTCCCTCCTGTCCTCCTCCCTGCTTTTGCTCTTCCTCTTCGGCCTCACGCCAGCCTCTTTGTAAGGGATCGGAGATTCTGAGAGGGATTGGAAAGGGATGTGGCCATAGCGGCTCCCATCCCATCCCATCCCATCCCATCCCATCCCATCCCATCCCATCCCATCCCATCCCATCCCATCCCATCCCATCCCATCCCGTCCAGTCCCATCCCCTCCCATCCCACCCCACATTTGGCCCCCTTGGCACCCCAGAGCATCCTCCACGTGCTCATTCCACCACTGCTAAGTGTTGTTCCTGCTGGTAACGTGAACACTTCAGCACTTGAACATATATTTTATATCTATATAATATTAACTTAAGACGTACTATGTTCTATATGAATACCCTCAGTCAATATTACACCCTCAGGTATCACCTACCACTGGTTCTCAGATTTCTGAGCTATGAACACCCCGGCCTTGGGGGGGTTATTTATTGCACCCCAAGGGCCAGGGCAGAGGCGAGCCCTGGGCACACACAGACCGGGCACTGTGGGCATGTGGAGGATCCCACTTGACACGCCACAACCAGAGCAAACAGTGACACTGGGTTCTTCTTAACCCTCTTCTTTTTCCTTCTCCCTCCCAGGCTCAGGCTGTGCAGAACTGCAGCATCATGTAACCCTGTGGCGCATTCCTGTGGTTCGTGCCCATCTCCAGCTAGGTGGTTTTGTTGTTTTTTTTTTCCAAAGCAAAAGAAAGGTTTTTTTCCCCTTTAAAAAAAAAAAAAAAAAAAAAAGATATGAAAACCCAAGTTTGGGGGTTTTTGTTTTCTATAGCAGGAATTTTATATATATATATATATTAAAAGTGCTAAAAGATGCTTTGATTTTTTTTTTTTTTTTTGTAAAGGAAAAATCTATTTCTATATAAAAAAAATCCAAACCAAAAAAAAGCTTCTCAGCTTCACAATTTTTTTAAAACTTCAGCCAAAGACAGCGAGAAATCATGTTTACGGAGCAGCCACGCAGGAGGAGATCATAGCTGAAACGCTCTTTAGATTGTACCTTTTTTGCCAAAGCTTTTTACATAGGACTGGGAGAAGTGCAGCCATCCCCACCGGGGCTGCTGTCCTGTCTCGAGTGGAGCACAGTGCCTTTACAACCCTTTTACTTGGGATCTGAAGCCAAAATTCCCTTTTGTGTTTTTTTTTTTTTTTTTTTTTTTTTTTTTTTTTTTTTGGAGTTGTGATTCCTGGTGGTGCTGGCGTGGGGGCTCCTGGCAGCTTGCAGGCAATGCCCATGTCCCTCCGTGGCCATTGCCCCCTCCCCAGCCCCCTGCCCGCCTGCACTCCCAGCGCTCCACGTACTGTATCCCCCATATTCCCCATCCCAGGCACGTGGTGCCCTTTGGGTTCCCTCTCTTATTTTTTAAGCAGCCAAGTTGTGCCTTAGCCAAGGCGGGGGCCAGGCTGGGAACGCCGCTGGACCCCGCACGGCATCGAGTGGAGATGGAGTAGGGGAAGTGAAAACCCTCCAGAGCCGCGTCCCGGGACCAGGTGGATTTGGCAGCTGGGGTGACGGACCTCGCTCCTGCAGGCTCGGCACCAGAAGGGCCCTCCAGGTCCCTCCCTTTGGGGGCCACTGCACCGAACGGGGTCCACCCCAGTTTTTCTCGACTGTGGTTAGTCGGGCTCGTCTCCGGTGACCGGAGCTCGGGAACCGTTTCAGGGGTGAGGTGAAGGATGCTCAGTCCAGGCAGGGCTGGTTTGCCAGGAAGGCACCAAGGAAAGTGTTTTGTTTGAGGGAGGGGGGATTTTGGGATCTGGCAGGAGCAGCTTCCCCCTCTGCAAAGGTCCATCCAGCTGTTGACAGAGATCTCGGCTTCTTGCCTTGACTGAGGAATGCCTGCAGCCCCCCCCAGCCTCAAGTGCAGGGGAGGGCAGGATCAGGTCCCAGGACGAGCCCCCCGCTCCAGCGGGATCTGGCGAGGCCGTGTATTGTATCCATGCTTGCAAAGCTTCTGTATTACTGCCTGTATCTCCTTCCAAAGTCAAAATACAGCCAAACCCTTCCCACGCTGTGTGCTGTCATCATTGCTGTCCAGGGGGGAATTTGGAGGTGCTGCACGGGGATCCCCCCAGGATCTCTTTTAGCCCCACAGCCAGGGCTGGGGCTCAGCAGGTACTGTGGGTGGGGGGAAGCAGGGTGGCCCTGGCTTACCCAAGGGTGGGATGCTGAGATCTGGGACAGCCCCAGGACAGGGACAGGTGGGGAGGAGATGGAATTTGCGGTGAGGGCTCAGACCTTCCCTCCCTTGGGGTTTTGGGGACCAGATGTTTCCCAGGATGGGATGGCCTGGGCAGGGGCCAGAACCTGAGAGAGCCCCTGATTGAGGGTTTGCTCCTGCCATAGGGAGGAGCTCCTGCCACACTCAGCCAAGGGGATAGATCCCCTTTGCCCCCCGGGCCGTGCCAGGCACCGGAGCGAGGCGGGAGGCGATGCCGGGGAGAAGGAGAGCCTTAAAGCCGGCACTTAATCGGCTTTACCAGGCACAGCGCTGGGGAGCCGCGATGTGAGGGGACGCGGGCGGGCGGCCGGGGCGCAGGCACAGCCAGGTAGGTACCCGGAGTGCCCGTCCCGGGGGCACCCCCTGCCCCGGCGCTCGGACATTTGGGTCCCCCCGAGCCGCACGGGGACACGTCATCCCGGGTTTGGGCGCGGCAGGGCTGAGGCTCACAAGGGTAGGGGGTGCCAGGGGGTCTCTGGGGCATCGCTGACACCTCCCAGCTTGAGTTGGGCCTGTGGGGATGCAGAGAGATGCCTGTCCCCTCCCAGGAGAGGGGTACAGCGAGTTCTCCGGGGCAGGTGCTCACAGGTTGGCCGGGGACACACTGGCCCCTTGCCTGTGCCCCGTTGGCCCCCCAGCTCTGCCAGCTCAGACATGCCTGTGCCACAGCGCTGGGGCAGGTACCCCCACCATGCTGCAACCCATCCCCTCTGTGGGGATCCATCCCAGCTCTGAGCCTGGCACTGCCAGGTCCCAAAAGTCATGAGGTTGTGCCCAAAATAGCGGGTTCTGGAATAGCAGGGAGGAGCCCCACGGAGAAGCCGGGAGCTCGTGCTGCTGCCTGGCCGTGCTGTCAGGAGGAGACAAGCCAGGAGACACGGGAACTGCCTTGGGGAACTGCCATGGGGAAATGCAACAAGGAAATAATGCCCCGGGTCCTCCCCATGCCCCTCACGGGACCCCAGTGTCCTGACACCCCCGGGCTGGGTCACACTGGGGAAGGGCTGGGCTGGAGACGTGTGGGGTCCCTGCACAGACCCTCAGGGACACTGCAGAGCCCCACGGGGATAATGCACACACTATGGGGAGCTTACAGAGCCACGTGGGGACCATACACACCCCACAGGGACCTTGCACAGCCCTCTGGGGAGCATGTACAGCCCTCAGAGACCTCACATGCCCCTACGGGGACTGTGACAGAGCCAGTGACAGAGCCAGTGACAGAGCCAGTGACAGAGCTCCAGCCCCATTCCAGCAAAAGCACTGAGTCACTGCAGGGTTTCTCCTGCTCCTCCTGCTGTCCCATGGGGCTGAGCCCTGCTCGGAGTTCCCCCAGAGTCTGTCAGGATGCAGATGGGTGCCCAGAGCAGGAGCCATGGCCTGGCCTCACTCACTTGTGCACTGAGTGTCAGAGTCTCTGCAGAGGGGCCGTGGTTGGGTGGGAGCACCTGGGTTTGGGTACCCACTGAGGACCACCAGGTTTTTTTGGGGGAAAGCCTAGCACAGGGAGCCTTGGAGCAATCACTGGGATGGGGCAGAGCTGGGAGTGACCCCAGTTTCTGGCAGCCACCAGTTCACCAGTTTACCAGTTTACCGGTTTACCAGCCGGGCCATGGCCGAGCAAGTGCTGGGGGCCCTGCCAGCCCCACGCCGGCCCCTCCAGCCCCTGCGTACCCGGGGGGATTAAGGTCAGGCTGCCCCACTAATCCCAAAGGGGAGTTAAGATTTGAGCCTGTGCCCGCTGCCACCCCCTGAGGCTGCACCCCAAGGCACTGCATGTTGTGGGACCCCCACAGGGCACCCTGGGGGGGACCAGGGAGGGCTCGGGGCCCGTGGCTGGGCTGTGAGGTGGGAGAGGTCCCTCCAGCAGGCTCCAGATAAGCCTCCAGTGCCAGCAGGCACAAGGCACAAGCTCCTTACAGCTCCCTGGGAAAGGCTCCGACCTCCCAAACACCACGGGAAGCAGGGGAGCCACTGGGGGGGCATTTGGCTCTGCTCCCCAGCCCCGGCAGGGCAGGTACCCCCAGTGATGGACCTGTTCCAGGCCTGCTGCTTTTGGGGGTGCTGTTTCAGCACCCCAGCTTGTGCAGAGACCGGCACCTCCCAGTGTCTCGTGTGTGGTTGTGCAGCGGGGACTGGGGGCAAAGTCACCTGCAGGGTCGTGTGGGGAAGGTGGCTGCAGAGGGAGGAAGTGGGGGCTGGGGATCCTGTTTTGGGGCTCAGGACACCCCACTCTCACACTCCTGGGAAGGGGAAAGGGGTAAGTTCCAAAGGAGAAGTGGTATCTGCCGGCACCAGCAGGGCCAGGCTTCCTGGAAAGGGAAGTTCCAAGGGGCAAAGTGTCATCAATTGTGGGTGTTGTGGGTGGGGGGGGTAAACACATGAGGCCTGGTGCCACCCCCTTCTGGGACACCCCAGAGGCAAGTAGTGCAGGAAACCAGAGCCAGCAGCACTTGGCTGGGATGGGTGAGTGGGAATGGGGGGCTGAGATGGGTGGGCTTACAGGGGTGGGATGTACTGGTGTGAGGTGCAGAGATGGGGGTGAAGGGATGGGGTGTGGATCTGGAGGTGTTGAGGTGGGGATGCAGGGAATTGTCGCCTATAGGAGAGAGCAAATCCGAGGTGAAGGGCCCCAGTGTGGTTACGGTGGCACGGGAGTGTGTCAGGAGAGGGGTTGGACAGGACACGTGTGGGGGCAGAGGGATGTCCCTGCTCCTCTTGGGGTGGGAGTGTCAGTGGTGCGTGTTGGGTAGTGAGGGGGGGTGCCTACACGTGTGCCGGTGGGCACCCACCCCGCCCACGCGCGGCCAGGGGTCCGTCTGTGGGGACGTGCGTCGCTCTATCGGGGCGGGGCGGGCTGGAGCCGCGCAGCCCCGTGTCCGTCTGTCGTGGTGTCCGCCGGTCTGGCGGCGCGGGGGGGCCGCGGCCGGCCGAGGTGCTGCCGTAGCCATGGCGACGTGAGCCGGATGCGGGGCCGGGGGATGCTGCTCCCGCCCGCCCGCCGCAGGTCGGTACCTCCGCACCGGGACCGGGGCCGGGGACGGCCGGGGGGCTCGGGGGTGGTCGGGGGCTCCGCCGGGGCGGGGGGACGAGCGAGGCGGGGGCAGTCGCCATATAGAGGCTGGGCTTTGGGGACCCCCAGGGCTGATGCTGCCAGTCAGCGACAAAGGGCCTGAGATCCTGGCCCTGGAGAGAGCCCCCCGCACCCTCTGGCATCCCCCCTGACTCCCTCACACCCTGCCCTCACACCCCTTCTACACTCCCCTTTCTGCCTCCCCCAGGTCCTGTGCACACCTCCACACCTCCTCTACCCCCAACTCCTTCCTGTGCATCCTCCTCTCTCTTACCTGCATTCCCCCAGCTCTCCCCACCCTTTGTATCACCCCCTCATGAATCCTCTCCCATCTCCCCTTGCATCCCCACCCCCCAGATTCCTCCCCTTCATCTTCCCATGTCCCTAGTCCACCCCTCCTCCTCCTCCCTTGCTTTCCATCTCCCAAAACACACACACCCTGTTCCAGGTCTGGGAGGGGGGTGGATCAAAGGAGCCTCTTCCAGGCTGAGCTTCCCCAGCCCCTTCTGGGTGTTGGGAGCATCCCTGCACCAGCCCCCATGCCACAGGGATACTCCTGGGAGGTGACATGGGCAGGGAATTGGAGACCAGCAGCAGAGAAGGGTCAAAGTCTTTCCTGCTGTGAGAAACCGAGGCACTGGGAAGGTCTGGGTATCCAGGAGATCAGTGCCACCAGCTGCACAGCTGCCCCACGCTGTCACAGCTCTCCTTCCTGAGCACACAGGCTGGGCCTGGCTCCGTCCCTGGCTTACAGGGAATCCTCCAAGAGGAGATCCAAGCAGGGCCGAGATCCACAGAGCCACGGCCGTGGTCAACCCATAAGCATGAGGGTAAATGAAACCACCCCAGTGCTGAGGGGCCCTTCGTGACACTTGCTCCCAAATCCCATAAGGGAGGCTGTAATGACAATGTCCATGACATCCTTAGACCCTTGTGGCCAGGAGACCCAGAAAAGAGGAGGGACAGGGCTATGAAGGGATTCCAGCTTCCCACTCTGACAGAGTAGCCTCGAGGCTGCTCCTGCCTCACATCCTGTCAGCACTGGCTCGTGCTGGGGAACACTGGGAGAGCACTGGGAGAACACTGGGTGTTTCCCCCAGCCCCCTCCCCAAGCTTTCAGCCTTGCCAAGGAGCCTGTGCTCCCTTTCCCATCCCTCCTCCCCCTCTGCGGCCCCGATGGCTCCGGCCCAGGGCAAAACAATGTCCAAGGCTCCGTGCGGCCCCGTCCCTCAGCCAGCCCTTCGCCAAGTGGGAAATCCGGGGCAGAGTAACCTACTTTCTGCACTCACAAGGAGCTTCTGTCCCAGCCAAGCAAGGTGGTGGGGACAGCACTGCCCTCCCGGGGCTCCGTGTCCTGGTGGGCCAGTGAGGGCACCGGGGGAGGCAGGTAAGGAGGCCCCGACAGGGCAGGATGCTCCTCAGCCTCGGCCAGACAGGGATGTTGGGGTGCCTCAGGTGTGGCTGTGCTGTTCAGGGAACCCCAGGGGTTTGGCTTTGGTGGATTTCTTGCTCACAGCCATCCCAGAGTGGCCTGGGGTGGAGGATGGAGACCCCAGAGAGGCAGGTTCCTGGGATGGCTGCAGGAGCTTTGTGGGGGAAATGCTTGGCCCTGGGGTGGCCTGTTTGTGGGGGCAATGCTTGGCCCCAAGGGGCTGTTTGTGGGGGCAATGCTCAGTTGTGGGAAGATGTTTGTGGGGGTAATAGCCCCATGGGGCTGTTTGTGGGGGGCGATGGATTCCTGGTCCCTGGGGCTGTTTATGGGGGTAATGCTCCGTCCTGGGGGGCTGTTTGTGGGGTTGATGCTTGACCCCAGGGGGCAGTTTGTGGGGAGCAATACTCAGGCCTGGGGTGCTGTTTTTCAGGGTGATGCTCAGTCACGCTGTTGGTCCTCACAGCTCACAGGAAAAATGCCATTGCTTTGCTCACCCCAAAGATTTTCTCTAAGTAGGAAGTGAACCCCCAGGCATCTGGGCACCCCGTTTACCCCTTGCCACCCCGCTGGTCACACAGCTGGAGGAGCAGAGCACCCCGAGTTCCCATCCCCGCTGCCTCCACCAGGCTTCGCTGCCGTCCCCGCGGGGGTGCGAGGCCGGGGAGGCGGGCGCAGGCACCCGCTGCCCCAACCTGCCGAGGCTCGTCCTCTTCCAGCAGGACTTTCAGGTTCCCGCAGTCCCGGCGGGGCCACGCGGGGCTGGGCTGGGCTACAGCGAGCCCAGCACGGGCCGGGCTGGGGGCCCGGTAGCGCGGCCACCCTTCAGCTGGACGTGGCATGGGCCCGCGGGGGTCCTGCGGCCGCAGCCCCCAGGGCTCAGGCTCCCCCCGGCTGCCGCTGCTCCAGGGGTGGAGGTGAGCGGCTCCGCTGGCTCCCACCGGAGAGGTAACGCTGCTCGCCGGGCACACACAGCGGCCACGAGCAAAGGGGGCCGGGGGGCTGCGAGGTTCTTGAGACGTGGCTCTTTCCCCACCGCTTCTGGTGTGAGCTGAAGAAAGAGCTGCAGCGAGGAGGTACCCCGTGTACTCCCTGCTCCTTTTTGTGGACCCTCTGGCCAGTGATGGAGCTGGACAGGGGAGCTCCTGACGGGGACGGGCACCGTGGGGCTCTGCGGGAGCAAAGGCCGGAGCATCCGGACACCCCTGGGCAGGAGCGCCGTGGGGCAAGGGGACATCTCTGGTTGTACTGGAGCGGCAGTGGGAAGTTCTCAGCCGTACTGGGGGGCCACTCGAGGCGCAGAGGCGCCCCCCCCCCCATCCACCCCTTCTGTTCCGGGTGCTGCTTCCCCCGTCTTGTTTCCGCTGGTTTGAGGTGACGCGCAGCCCAGCAGCGCGTTCCCTCAACCTCTCCCTCCCCGCAGGGATGGTGCTGGGACTCTCTCGGGGCACATCCCTGCCGCCCCCCGCCATGCCCGCCGCCCTCCGCCTGCTCTGCGGGGTGGTGGTGCCGGCTGCCCTGCTCTGCGCCGAGCCCCTGCCCCGCATCGCCTTCCCCAGCGGTGAGTGGGGCACTGGGGAGCATGGGGAGGGCCGGGAGGGGCTGGGACAGCTGGGGAGGGGGGACACACACACCACTGGCCCGGGGGAGTGTCCGTCCGCAGGGCTGAGTATCCAGCATCAGAAGCCGTGGGCTGCTCCCCATCGCAGCCTCATCACCCCTGTCCTCACCCCCGCCCGGGGCTGGGGACTGTGCCAGTGGCCACGGGGGATGCAGTGGGTGAGGGGACCAGATGAGGCTGGTTGGCACCCCAGAAACTGTGGGAGTGGGAGCTGGGGACTCACCCCGGGGTGCCAGACCCAGCAGAGCCATTTTGTCACTTGCTCGGCGCTCGGGGTCTGCTCAGGGTCACCCCGAGCAGAGGAAAAGGTGCCTCTGGAAGGGACAAGGCACAGTGTGTCCAGCTGAAAGGCAGGTGGCCAAGCAGGGGTTTGGGGGGGCTGTGGAAGGATGGCTGGGCAGCAGGAGGGTCTGTGCCCCATGGCGGGGCCGTGCCCTTCCAGCTGTCACTTCCCATTTCCCACACAGCCATGACCAGAATTACAAAATTCCCCCGTTTTGGTGCCTGGTGGGGGTAAATGAGAAACTGCAGTCTCTGTCTGTGCCTGGGGGTACCCAGGGGGCTTGTGACCCCCACCCAGGCTGGCACCCTGGGGCAGTGCATTCCCCAAATGGAGCACTGCCGTTTGGCCTTGGCCCCAAAACATCACAGGCACAGTTTGGGGGGAAAAATGCCCCCCATTTCTGGGGTCTGGGACAGCCAGCTCTTGCAGTAGGACCTGGGGGGGTGGTAGGGGGCAGTGGGGACCTGGACGGGGAAGTGGAGACTGTGATGTGGGAGCTGCGGGGCAAGCACTGCTCCCCATTTCCTGCACTAGGGGTGAAACAGCCCGTGGTGGCAGCTGCTACCACATCCGCCCGGGGAGGCGGTGGCTGTGGGAGGTGTGTGTGTGTCCCCTGGCCCCCGTCACCCCCTTTGCTCCTGCCAGAGGACCCGCGACGGACCCTCACCCACTTCAGCCAGGACAACGTGTCTCACTACGACATCTTCCTCCTGGATGAGGGCGAGGAGGAGCTGTATGTGGGGGCACGTGACCACGTGCTGGCCCTCGCCGTCAGCCCCGGCACCATCCACGCAAGAGCCTCGGTGAGCAGCCGCCACTTTTGGGGAAGTGGGGGGGTTCTCCTCTTCCCTCAGTTCCCCTCCTGGGGGCTGGGCTCGACAGCCCAGGACCATTTCCCTTCCCTCTGCAGATAGTGTGGGGACCCACGGCTGAGAAAACCTCTGAGTGTGCTTTTAAGAAGAAGAGCCAAGAGGTGAGATGGCCCGGGGGGGCTCAGGGGGTCCCACAGAGCTGCTGGGGTGCTCAGCCAGCCCCCCACTCTGCTCTTCCCCCCCTAGACTGAGTGCTTCAACTTCATCCGAGTCCTGGTGGCCCTGAACCAGACCCACCTCTACGTCTGTGGGACCTACGCCTTCAGCCCTGCGTGCACCTACATCGTGAGTGTCCCCCCAGGACAGGGCACGGGGGGGGTCTCTGGGCAGGTTGTGTCATTGCTGTGGGGACCCACAAAACACAGCCCCAGGAATGAATTACACCACGAGGTGTCCCCGGGATGGGGGGTGCTGCTGTCCCCCCACAAGGGGTATCTTTGTGCTCCATGAAGGAGCACACAGTGATTCTCACTCAGCTGCCAATGACTCTTCCTCTGACAGGGAAACCCTAATTTTGGGCCCAGGTCCCCTCAGGTGACCCCAGCCTCCCCATCCCTGCCTCAGTTTCCCCCTTGCTGAGGACATGATGGGGAACACCACTCCCCAACAGGAAAGTGGGAAAAGGTGACAGGAGCTGGGTACCATCATCATCCCTGCACACACCTTGAAGACTAAGGCCACCCCATGTCTGCAAGGGATTCCACATCCATTCCCTGAAGATTTGGGTTTATTTTCGCTCCTTTGGCTGATTTTTCTCCCCTTCCCACAGCACCTGGAGAACTTCACACTGGTGCCCAGTGGCAGAGGACAACCCTTCCTGGACGGGAAGGGCCAGTGCCCCTTCGACCCCCAGCACAACTACACGGCCCTGCTGGTGGGTGAGTACGGGGCCAGTGGCCCCACGGGTGGGCATCCTCCCGGGATGGAGCGGAGGGTGAGGGTGATCCCACCGTGGCTCACCCCCCTGCCCTGACCCCGAGCAGATGGTGAGCTCTACGCTGGCACCATGAACAACTTCCAGGGCAACGAGCCCATCATCTCCCGCTCGCTGGGCACCCGCACCCTGCTCAAGACGGACGCCTTCCTGCGCTGGCTCTCGGGTGAGCAGAGGGACGGTCCTGGCAAGGACACCCCTGTGCCAGGGGTGCCTGCAGCCCCCTCGGCCCCAGCTCCTCACCCACCTGCCCTGGCTGTGCCTGTAGACGACGCTGCCTTCGTGGCCTCCTTCAGCATCCCCGGGGACGACAAGGTCTACTTCTTCTTCGAGGAGACGGCCGAAGAGTTTGACTTCTTCGAGCGGCTCCTGGTGCCGAGGGTGGCCCGTGTCTGCAAGGTGTGATGGCAGGAGACGGTGACAGGGGACGATGGGGGGACAGAGATGGGGGATGGGGATGTTGGGGGATGGAGGATGGGGATGGGGAAAATGGTAGGGGACAATGATGAGGGGTGATGGTGGGGAACGATGAGGGCACATGATGGGCATGATGATAGGGGACAATGACATGGACAGTGATGGAGATGATGACGATGGGGGACATCGTTGGACGGTGATAGGGGATCATAATGATGACAGGGAACCATGGAGGGTACAGTGATGGGGGATGATGACAAGGGATGAAGACAGCAGACAGTGATGGGGGACGATGACAGGGGATAAATGGGGGTACCCAGCTCCCGTTGCTGAGCACACTCTGACCCCCACAGAGCGATGTGGGGGGGGACAAGGTGCTGCAGAAGAAGTGGACGACATTCCTGAAGGCACAGCTCGTGTGCTCCCAGCCCGGCCACTTCCCCTTCAACGTCATCCACCACGCCTTCGCCCTGCCCCGCCCTGGCGGCCGCGCCGACTTCTACGCCGTCTTCACCTCGCAGTGGTGAGTGCCCAAGGGTGTGACGGGTGCCTGGGCTCCTGCACCCTCCTGGTGCCCACCTGGATGTCCCCACAGGCAGGCAGGCAGGGAGGGCAGCGCCGCCGTCTGTGCCTACAGCCAGGAGGATCTGGAGAAGGTCTTCGAGGGCAAGTACAAGGAGCTGAACAAGGAGAGCTCCCGCTGGACTGTCTACAGCGGCCCTGACATGAGCCCCCGGCCTGGCAGCGTGAGTGCTGCCCACCCCGGGGGGCCAGACCCTCCCAGGGACAGTGCTGGTCCCCAGGGGAAGGGGTTTGTCTGTCCCAGTTTGCCCAGTGTGCTCACACTGCAAGCAGGGTGGGGAGAGTGCCTCTACACCCCACTGATGCTGGCACAGAGCAGTGTGGTGACACAGCACACCCTCCCCTCCCCTGCCTCAGTTTCCCTTCAGTTTCAGAGCACCGACCCCTCTCTCCCTGCAGTGCTCCGTGGCTCCCTCCTCGGACAAAGCCCTCACCTTCATGAAAGACCATTTCCTGATGGACGAGAAGGTGTCACCCATCCAGGGGAGGCCGCTCCTGGTGAAGTCAGACGTCACCTACACGCGCATCGCAGTGGATGAGACTCGTGGCGTCTCAGGCACCACCTACCGCGTCCTGTTCCTGGCCACGGGTAGGTTCATGGGGGGGTGCACACAGGGCCACCCCTCTGACCCTTCCCTTGGCTCCAAAGCCCTGGTGATGTCCCCTGTGCCCCACAGCCAAGGGTTACCTGCACAAGGCAGTGGAGCTGCCTGATGGTCCCCACATCGTGGAGAGCATCCAGCTCTTCCAGACGCCGGAGCCAGTGAAGAACCTGTTGCTGTCCCCAGGGAAGGTGAGGAATGGGGCCACCCAACAGCCACCACCCCAACCCTGGCGTGGGGGCTGGGGGGTGGCTCAGCCACACACCTCTGTCTCCACAGGGCACCCTCTATGTGGGCTACTCTGGAGGCGTCCTCCAGGTCCCGCTGGCCAACTGCAGCCTGCACCGGAGCTGTGCTGAGTGCGTGCTGGCACGGGACCCCTACTGCGCCTGGCACAGCCCCAAGGGCTCCTGCCAGCCCGCCCACATGGCCACTGAGGACAGGTGAGCGCCAGGATGAGGACGGGAAGGAGGGTGCAGAGGGGACTGGGATGCTGAGCCCGCTCTCCCGGCCGCAGGAGCGCGTGGCTGCAGGACATCGAGACGGGGAGCCCGGCCACCACCTGCCACCGAGGGAGGAGCGTGGCCATGCCCCGGGCCTGGGGGGGACCAGAGGATCCCACCGTGCAGGGTTGAGTATGGGAGCGTGGCAGGGTGGGGCACATGGGGTGGGATGGGGCACATGGGGTTGGGATGGGGCCCACAGGGTGGGATGGGGCCCATGGGGTGGGATGGGGCACACAGAGTGGGATGGGGCCCATGGGGTAGGATGGGGCATATGGGTTTGGGATAGGGCACATGGATTTGGGATAGGGCACATAGAGTTGGGATAGGGCACATGGGGTTAGGATGGGGCCCATGGGGTGGCGTGGGGCACATGGGGTGGTATGAGGTCCCTGAGGTGGGATGGGGCACACAGGGTGGGATGGGGCACATGGGGTGGGATGGGGCACATGAGGTGGGATGGGGCACATGGGGTTGGAATGGGGCACATGGGGTTGGAATGGGGCACATGGGGTTGGATGGGGCATGCAAGGTGAGATGGGACACATGGAGTGGGATGAGGCACACAGAATGGGGTGGGTCACACAGAGTGGGATGGGGCCCATGGGGTGGGATGGGACACACGGGGTTGGGATGGGGCCCATAGGGTGGGATGGGACACGCAGGGTTGGGATGGGGCACATGGGGTGGGGTGGGACACACAAGGTGCTCCGCCTCATCCCACTTTTCAACACCCGCAGTGCTCAACCCCCAGCCGAACGCTATCGTCCACCTGCTGTGTCCCTGCCACTCTGCACTGGCCACCTACAGCTGGCAGCAGCCCAGCAGTGCCCAGGAGGATGCGGTGCTGCTACCGAACCGCACGCTGGTGGTCATCATGCAGCCGGAGACCGCCGGCGTCTACAAGTGCCAGGCCACGGAGAACGGCTACACCTGGACCGTGGCTCACTATCAGCTCCGGGGCTCTGCCGGGGCGGCCCTGGGGGACGGGCTGGACGAGGAGGAGCTGGCCTGGGGGTCCTCGGCCGTCGGCACCCCCGGCTCGTACTGGTCGCAGTTTGTGACGGTGACGGTGCTGCTGGTGGTGACGGTGACCGCGGCCGCCTGCCTGGCCCTGCTGGCCTACCGCGACCAGCTGAGGGCCCGCAGCAAGGTGCGGGGCTGCAGCGCTCCCCACAGCCCCCCTGCCCGCCACCGGGAGAAGGTGCCCCTCAACGGGGGCACCGGGGAGCCCCCGGTGCCCGGGGCGGCCGCCGAGGAGGAGGAGGAGGACGAAGGCTCCCAGGCTTGCTGCCTCCAGCTCGACGGCGACATCGACGTGGACAACAACCGGCTCCACGTGCCGGGGCAGGGCGCGGCGTGACACTGCCAGGGGACACGCTGGGGAGGGTGGGAGGGAGGGTGTGAATGTGAAGGGTTTTGATTTTTTTTTTTGGGGGGTGGGGCGGAGGGGGTTGTTTTGGTTTGGTTTGGGGTTTTTTTGGTTTTGTTTTTTTTTTTAATTTAATACACGTGTTTTAACATAAGGTGACATCCCGGGGCAGGGGGGTGGGACGGGGCAAGGGGGTGGGATGGGGAGAGGGTGGGAGGCAAGGGCAGGTTGGGGGGACAGGGAAAGGACATGGCACAGAGAAGGAACGTGGCTGTGGGGCCAGGATGTGGGGTGGGGACAGATGGACATGGATGCTGTCACTGGTGTCACCCCGAGAAATACCCACCCCCAGGATCCCTTAAAGCCTCAACACGGGGGAGGCTGAGCCTGCCAGGCTCCATGGGCCGACCCCACGGGCACCCACCCTGTACTGCCAGACCCCACTCCTGGACACTGCACGGCCCTGGGGCAATGGAGCCCCCTCACTCCTCCCCAGCTGCCCCCCCCGCCCCCATTTCCCACGCCTTTGATCCACCCGTTTTAAGCCAAGCCAGCTGTAAATTTTCCTGCCCTTCGGTTTTTTTCTATTAAAAAAGGAAAACTCAAGGCATGGCACTGCTGGGTCCAGGGAGGGAGGAGCGCTGGGGGGCGGGCAGCGCCAGCCCAAGCCTTTGGGTGGGGGTGTGCGAGGCGTGTTCGAGGGCAACACATGTGTGCGGGGGCGCACATGTGTTCACGCGTGTGCGTGTGCGGGGGGACGTGTGTTCACGTGCAGCTCAGGCACGCGCAGGGTGTGACACACATGCGCAAGCATGTGCAGGCCGTAGCGCCCGCGCACACGTGAAATGGGGGGTGAAATGAGAGTCGCTGGCCCTTTAAGGGCGGTGAATCGGGCGCGGTCCCTTTAAGCGCGCCCCCCACATCTCCCGTGGGCGCCGCCGCCATCTTTACTGCGGGCGCGGGGCGCGGCCTCAGCCCTCGCCCAAGATGGCGGCGGCGCGCGGGCGCTGACGGCGCCGGTCACTTCCGGCCGGGGGGCGGCCATGGGGCGGCGGGGCCGGGCCGGGCCGGGCCGGGGCCGAGCGGGAGGTCCCTCCCGCCGCACGAGGTGAGGGGGCGGCGGGGCCGGGGCTGCGGGGCGGGGGAGAGCCGCCTGACCGTGGGGGCTCTGCCTGGCGCGGGGCCGGCGCGGGTGGTGGCGGCGGCAGCGGCTGAGCGAGGCCGCGGGGGAGCTGGGGGGGCGGGGGCTGCACGTAGGGAACGGGAGGGGTGGCACGGGGAGAGCGGGGGTCCGGGTGGGGTGGGAGGGGGCCGGGTAGTGCGGACCCCTCGGCTTTGGAGGAGCCCCCGGGGCAGGGGCTGGAACCCCCAGGGCAGGAGCTGGACCCCTGCCCCGGGGCTGCGGGAGCGGAGTCGCCCCAGGAGCAGGCGGGGACACCCCCGGGACGCGGGGCTGGGGACGCGCGTGGCCCGCGCAGTGACCTTGAGCGGGGCCCTGGGCCCAGCTCTGCCCCTGTAGACCGGGGACCAGCGCTGGGGACTCCGCCCGGGGGGTGGGAGGATGGGGGGGGCTCCTGAGCGCGGGGCTGGGGGTCCTGGGGGGGGATGAAGTGTCTGTGCCGCAGCGGTCACTGAGCGACAGCTGCTCCGGGGGGCTGCGGGTCCTCGGCGAGGCTGCATCCTTTCTTCACCCCGGGTTTGTATCCAGAATTTTCCCCCCCCGGGGGTTCTATCCAGAATTCCCCCCCGGGGTTATATCCGCAGTTTCCCCCCGGGTTTGTATCCAGAACGCCGCCCCCTCCTCGGCTTTGTCTCCTCTCCCATCCCGGGGTGAATTTAGGGAGTGAACGCTCCGGGCCTTTGCCAGGGGAGCTGCCAGCCGGGGCTGCTTTGGTGGCACAGGGAGAGGGCTCCGGGCTGGAGCCTCGCAGCGGGATTGTGGATCTCGTGCTTTCCCGCTCGGGAGCATCTCCACAGGCAACCCCGGCGAGCAGCCGGGGCTCGCTCCCGGTGGTTCCCAGGGGGTGCTGAGGCATTAACATGCTGGGCAGGACACAGCCCTGGCCGGGGGACACAAAGGCCCTGTCTGTGTTTGCCAGGGAATCATCTTTAGCTCCAGCTGCATCCAGGGCGGTTTTGGGGACTGGACTGACAGGGTGATGTTAAAAAGGACCTAAACTGGAGTTAAATTGAGTTTTGTGCTCAGGAGGCTGAGGCTGTGCCCAGACTGGCCAGAGGGCATGGGATGGGCTGCTGGGTTTCCCCTGCTGGATTTCCAGGCAGACACTCAAGAAGTGCTGTTCTGTGCAGGGTGGGAAGGGAAGGGATCACTGAGGGGTAGTCTGGGCTGTTGCAGAGGTGAAGTGCAGAACTGGCTGTGGGAGCTGGGAGGGAACCTGGGGCACTGGTGCTTTGGTTTGGAGAGCAGGTCAGTTCTTGGGAGAATTTACTTGGAGGATCATCCAAGAGTTGCTGAATGGATGTGATGGGATCCCTGGATCCCTGCCCTGAGCAAGGCCCTGGTCTGAATTTCTGCAAGGATTAAACGCTCTGGGACAGACTCTTGTGTTGGCAGAACAAGAATTGTGGCTGTGCTGGGCATGCCAGGATACCTTCCCTCTTCCACACAGGAGGGGCTTTTAGTGCCCGTGGGCCCTGGGACTTGATCTTTCTGATTCAGATCCCCAGTGAGAGGAGTTATTTGTAATGAGTCCAGAGAAAGTGCAGCTATTTCCTCAAGGGGTTATGGCTGAAATTCCAAACCCAAAGCACCAGAGCATACAAAACTACATAAGAATCCATGATCCACTATTATTATTATTGTTTTGTTTTCCTTATTGCAGCAATGAGGATGTTTTTTGCAGGAAGTCCTTCACTTTCCCATGGGGAGCTTGTTTCTGTCCTTGGGTGGCAGAGGAATTTATGAGTATGGACCAAACCCTCAAGCTTCACCAGGAAATTGCATTGACCAGGCTTTATTTTATTTATTTATTTTTTAAAATAAAATATTAAATTAGTGAGACTCCTAACGAGAACCAAGTCATGTTTTCATAGGTTCTGTTTGCAGATAATTCCTGGGCAGGAAGCTTTGTGAATTAACCACAGCACTCTTAGCAAACCCAGTAACTGTAATTAAAGCAATCCTGGCTTTGTTTAGCCAGGCCGTGGTGTTTGTTGTGCCTTATCTGCCAAGGCAATTGCTTGTAAGGATGAAGAGTAGTTCTCTTTGCACTGGTAAAAGCGTTGGACCCGGTGCCCTTAGGTATTTTTAACTGCCCTGTCCGTGGCAGCCTGTAATGCTGTTTGCTGCTGTTCAGCAAATATTTTCTTGGCAGACAGGCAATGAAATGGTCAGTTAATGGCACCTCCACCCCTGCCTTCCCATAATTTCATAGCTGTAGTTTCTTCTCCGTGCCAGAGGTAAATCACTTCCAGTTGTTTTGTTGCTGCCTTTCTAACCGAGTGGTTCTGGACCCTGTGAGCTCTCTGTGGAGGCTGCAGTGGGGAGACATTTCTCCCAGAATCACAGGCTTGAGTTCAAAGGGACCTTAGAGCTCATCTTGTCCCATGGGACACCTTCCACTAGCCCAGGTTGCTCCAAGCCCCATCCAACCTGGCCTTGGACACTCCCAGGGATGGGGCAGCCACAGCTTCTTTGGGGAACCTGTGCCAGGGCCTCACCACCCCGAGGTGCTTTTTTTGACATCAGTGTTGTGTTGTGTGACTCTCTGAGCTGCCCTTTTGCTGCCCGGCCCTGCGTGGAGGTTCCCTGAGAATTAGGGGCTTCCTGAGGGGAAGGGTCTGCTGGAGGAGACTGAGCCAGCACCTTCCTCCTCCTTCTCCCCCTGCCCCTGGCGCTCCCAGCATGGCCAGTGGTGGAAGGGGAGCAGCCTGGGTGGGTTATCAGACAGGGAGCAGTGTTGGAAGGGAGGATGAACTTTGCTCTGTAGCTGACAAGCAGCTCAACAGAGAGATCCTGGGCTGTGATTTAACCCTTTCTTTCCAGGGTATTGGTCATCAACATGGAGACTCTGTGTGGCTCTTTGCATTGGCCTTGTTTTCCTGTTGTTCATCTTTTCACAACTTTCTCGTCCCCCTTCCCTGGCTTGCATCGTCCTCCAGCTTTAGGAAGATCAGAATGGAAATGCCCAAAGAAAGGTGTCTAATTTGTGCAGGGAATCTGGGAACACAAACAGAAACTTGTCACTTCCTTCTTTGTACAGAGCCCAGAACTGAAGTGACATCCTGACACCTGGGAACATCACAGACCCGGAATGACTGGGGAGAAGCTGCTTTGGTTGGCAATCCGTGATCCTGTGTGTCCACTGAGAGGTGGGTGTGCTGCTGGAGTGGTGCTTCGTCCTCTGGCTCTTTACCTGCTTCCCAAAGCCTGGGGAGCTTTGCTTTGCCATGGGGCAGTGTGGTGGGAGCTGCTGGAGCCCCATGAGAAGGTGCCAGCACCAGCCACGTGGGAGGGTCCTGCCTCCCGAGGTTGCAGTCCCTCTGCTCTGCCAGCACAGTGCTGTGTGAGGGCTCATTGTGTGCTTGAGGACAGCCAGCACAGCCTGAGGGGATGTGGGCAGCTGTAGCAAATGGGTTTCATCCTCGTTTCAGGTGCTGGCACTTCCCATCTGGTCAGTCAAGGCTGGAGGGCTGGGCCTGGATCTGCTCTGTACCTTTGAGGGCGATCTGGGCCTCTCCTCCCGCACCCCGAGGAGCCATGGAGGACAAACGCAACATCCCCATCATCGAGTGGGAGCACCTGGACAAGAGGAAGTTCTACGTGTTCGGGATCTGCATGACCATGATGATCCGGGTGAGCGTTTACCCCTTTACGCTCATCCGGACGCGGCTGCAGGTCCAGAAGGGCAAGAGCCTCTACAACGGGACTTTCGACGCCTTCGTGAAAATCCTGCGGACAGAAGGGACGGCCGGGCTGTACCGGGGCTTCCTGGTGAACACCTTCACGCTGATCTCGGGGCAGTGCTACGTGACGA